GTTTATGCTTCTGCTTATTGATTTCTGATCTTGGCTTCCTCCTGACCTCATCCCTGTCTGATATACCGATACCTCATCGCCTGCTCGTTGCTTACCCTGGCTATTACTCTGACTACGCTTCTGGCTCCAGTTCTGCAATCAATATCCGCAGGCACTCGTGTTTCTCCTGTCCCTCAGCACCATCTGTTCCACCTTCGGTGGGGCCTGGGTTGGAGATACAAGAGAGGCTGACCTCGTCAATTCAGACTTCTATCAGGTAGGTGACACTGACTTTTTATCTCTTGGCTTCGATTGCTTTATAAGGCTCCCACAGCTCGACTATGGGTAAAAAATGCCCTATCCCCATCTTATACTTTGCATAGAGGTACGAGGCAGGGATGCCCACTGTCACCCTTACTCTTTCCTCTGGCAATAAAACCATTGGCAGTGGCCATCAGGGGGGATCAGAATATAGAAGGGTTTAACGAGGTGATGTTAAAAAAAAAACTGGCTTTGTCCTATTGTTTCTGGGCAATACGTCCCTTTCTCTTAAAACACTGTTGACATTTATCGATACATTTGGATCCTTTTCTGGTTGTAGGATTAATTGGGATAAATCCACCCTGCTACCCTTAGACCCGATGCCAACTCCCCTACCTCAGGTTGCGTCCCAAATTTAAGTGGTAGATTCCTTCCGTTATTTGGTCATACATGTACATCCTACCCTGTCTAAATGTGTCCAGCTAAACCTCCATCCTCTACTTCTTAGGTTCATACAGAAAACTGTTAGTTGGAATAAATTACCGCTCTCAGTGGTTGGCATGCGTGACTTAATAAAAATGATCTGGGCCCCTTCAGCTGCTATTTGCCCTGCATAACGCACCGATTTGGATTCCCATGTATGTTTTTTCAAGCAATTTGATACTGTGTTTCTCTCTTTTGAATTTGAAGAAGCGATCCCCTCATATAAAATTAGAAACTCTACAGGAATCTAGGAAGGCTGGGGGGTTGGCGGTTCCTAATCCATTTTATTATTACATGGCTGCGCAGCTTTAACAACTTTCTGCTTGGCAAGTTGATGTCATTGCTGACACCATTAAGCCGCTCCTAGTGAGTGTTCACTCCAATGATAATTTGATAGAATTTGATAGAATGTCTGGAGGCAGGGTGAGTTTGGAGCTTTCTCTCAATACACTACCCTAGTACTGATAGATAAAATTTGATCTAAGGCTAAATATCATATTAATTATTCTGGCTATACCTCATTCACCTCGCATCTTCTATAGTTGCAGGGTTTTGCTGGCTGGATGGTATTGGGAATCAGATATTTACCACAACTGTATCGTGGTCAACTGCTGAACGACTTTCAAACCTTGCAACCCGAATATGACTTGCCTAATCACTTTTTTTTTTAATACCTGCAACTTAGACATGCTATTTTCTGATCTAAAATCTCTACATGGTTATTTGATTTGTGGTACTTAAATTGTGTCCTCAACCTCTAGAATGGGTCAAATATCCTCGTTGTACCAATCCCGTGTGCACCGGGTCTCTAAGGCGATGTCCCTCAATTTTAGGGCACAATGGTCGTCAGACACTATCCCTAATGAGGAATGGTCCACGATACTAGAAAATGTAATTAAAATCTCTCTATCTCCAACTCACAAGCTTACCCAGCTTTTTATCATTCACTGTACTTACCGCACTCCTCAAAAATTGTACGACTGGAATAGGAGGGATTCCCTCCTCTGTCCCAGGTGTGAAATTAATAATGGCACGTTTCTCCATATGTTATGGAGATGCCCTAACTTGGTAAGATACTAGACCTACATTATAGAAATGATCAATAAAATTTGGATTCTTAATCTTCCCCTGGATCCTAAGATTTGTCTGCTGGGAGCTATAGATGAGGAGCTATATACCCCTCATACCATCTTTTGAGTGCTGTTTATTGCTCGGAAAGTCATAGGCCAGAAATGGATATCTCCTAACCCCCCCCCCCCCCTTCCCATGCCCAATGGATTAAAGCAGTTAACAATACCCTAATCCGAGAGAAATTAATATATAAAACATAGAGGATGTGCTTGGAAATTTGCAACTATTTGGGTTGCTTGGTTAGGTACACTGGGATTAGCGCCAGTCCAACTAGTCAGGGACAGGGTATTGAGTGGAGGAGTCTCTTCAGGCTTGCTGTGATCTAGCCAGTGTCTATATTTTAAAGTGTTTGGCCAGGAGGGTGGATTTGCATGACCCCGAAAAGAAAAATTAACATTACTACCATAAAAAAAATATATATTCCCTTTTTTTTTTTTTTTTTTTTTTTGTTTCATCAGCTCCTAGACAGGTATTGGAGCCATTGGTGTACCAAATATTTTATTTTTTGCGGACATTGGATTTTTATCGTTCTAATCATGGATAGGTTGAGGCAGCTTGGTTCTTCAGGTTCAGTTCAGCGAACGAATGGTTTGTTTTTACTGTTCTGGTTTTTTGTATTTTTGAGGTTTTTTTGGTCTCTTGTATTTTTGCAATATTTTTTCTTTTTTCTAAAAAACATGGAAAACATTGTGGTGTCTTCTGAATGCTTTGATATATACTCCTTATGTACTGTATTGTTGGAAAATGTTATTACTACAGCTATCTCCTAAAGGAAGTTGGGATTGTATAATTTTGTATGTACATGGATCCAAACTTCAATAAAAAAAGACCTGATTTTAAAAAAATAAAAAATTGAAAGTCAGCAGGTACAAATACTGTGGCTGCTGACTTTAATTAGTAGGGCACTTACCTGTCTAGGCATCTAGTGGTGTCTTCACCCCGAGCTGATTCTTCAGATGGCTGTCGAGGGCTGGCGCCGCCATCCTGACTAAGAGAGACCGGCAGTGAAGCCTTGCGGCTTCACCGTCTGTTTCCTACTGCACATGCGTGAAGCGCGCTGCACTTTGTGAATGGGCTGCAGTCCTCTGGGACCTTGGAAGTGTCCCAGAGGGCTGTGGGGGGTGCCGAAACTTCTGACTCCATTCACCACGGCGAACTCAGCCAGAAGTGGGAGCGGATACCTGTGAACTCCCCCCAAAAGGTGTCAAATGTGGCAAAGCATGATGCAATTTGCTCCTGCAGGGGAAAAAATTCCTTCCTGATCACCCAAGAGGCAATCAGATATTCCCTTGATCACCTTTACCTATAAATGTTAGTATCCAGTTATATTCTCTGTATCTAGGAAAGAATCCAGGCCTTTTTTAAAGCAATCCACTGAGCTGGCCAGAACCAACTCTTGAGGGAGTCTATTTCACATTTTCACAGCTTACTGTGAAGAAACCTTTCTGTATTTGGAAATTAAATCTCTTTACACTCTGCACTTTCTCCAGTTCCCCAATGTTCGTTTTATGAATTGGTGCCCAAAACTGAACTGCATATTCCAGATGAGGTTTTACTAATGATTTGTACAGGGGTAGAATAATATCTCTCTCTTTGTAGGCTATATCTCTCTTTTCCTGCAGACATAAAGAGTGCCCCCTTGTCCTCTGATGACCTAAGGGTGAATAACTCTACACCGAGTTCACTATATGAACCACTGATGTGTTTATACATGTTGATCATATTGCCCCTTACTCTTCTCAAGAGAATATAAATTCAGTTCCTCTAATCTTTCCTCATAGCTGATCTCCTCCATGCCTCTTATCAGTTTGGTTGCCCTTCTCTGTACTTTCTCTAGTTCCCCAATGTTCTTTTTATGAATTGGTGCCCAAAACTGAACTGCATAGTCCAGAGGTCTTACTATTGATTTGTACAGGGGTAGCATGATCTCTCTCTGGAGTCTATACCTCATTTACTACAAGTGAGGTTTTTGCTCATTTTAGAAACCACAGCTTGGCATTGCATGCCATTATTAAGCTTGTGATCTACCAGAACTCCCAGATCCTTCTCCACCATTGATTCCCCCAGTTGTACTCCCCCCTAGTATGTATGATGCATGCATATTCTTAATCCCTAAGTGCATAACCTTGCATTAATCAACAATGAACTGCATTTGCCACATAGTTGCCCGATTAAACAGTGCATTGAGGTCGACTTGTAAGTTGAAGTTGGTTGGTAGGGGATCAAATACTTATTTTACTTACTGAACTGCTACTCAATTTATAACATTTGTATCATGGTTTTTTTCTGGAATTTTGGTTGATATTCTGTCTCTATCATTTAAGATACACCCATGATAAAAAAAATTTAAGACCCTTCATTTCTTTGTAAGGGGGCAAACTTACAAAATCTGCAGGGGATCACATAATTATTTTCCTCACTTTGCAATATTAAATAATTGCCTCTGCATTTGATCATTACTAGTTTTAGTAACTTAAAAATTAAGCTGTGAAGGGCAGGTGCAGACCGGCAGGGAGCTCATTCACACTTCTGTAGCAGATGATGTAAGTATAAAAAGGAGGGTTCTGCAATGGTGTTCTGTCTGAGCAGTCTTCAATAAAGGTTCTTGTGGATGATACCAGATACCAACGGTGTGCAACCAACCATTTCAACTGGCATAGAATTTTAATATTCTCATATTAATTATTAGCAAATTTCAAGAGTTTCCTACCCTCCCTTACATCACAGTGCACCCCTCTTACCTTGTGTTGCTGCCGGGAAGATGCTGGGGGTGGAACTGGGAAGCTGAAAGTGCAGGATCTGGAGGAGGACCAGAGGAGGGCTAGAGTCAGCTGCCGGAGTCTGTTGAATGCTGAGACCAGGGGAGGCAGAGATGAGGGGGTGCTGCGCCTGCACAGAGAGACACGGAATTTGTAGTAGGGGTTCTGTCTCCCTCTCTGCTGCCAACTGCTGAAACGAGGTAGGGGCCGAGACAAGGGGGTGCGCAGCTGCAGGAGAGATGCGAGGACCACATGAAATGGCCTGGTGGGCCAGAATTAATGTATTTGCTTTAGACATTTTGATGCAAAATTGTGAGATAAAATAAACCGTTAAATATAATTTTACAGCTTAGTAAACTGACCTAGATTTTTTCCACTAACTTACAGATATGAAGGTCTGGGTCCCAGTATTATTGTGTGCCCTGCCACTGTAATGCACCAGTGGGTCAAGGAATTCCATGCATGGTGGCCTCAGTTGCGTGTAGCTGTACTTCACGAAACAGGAAGTTTTCCTGGAAAAAAGGTGAGAACACTGTTCCTTAAATTTTCTTCAATTCTCTTCAAGATCTGCTAAATCATTAAATGATTTTTTTTGCAGGACAAAGGAGAATACATTTTGGGTAACTTTTTTTTCCTCAGTTTCACAGGTTAAATGCATGGTATTGTGATTCAAAGTGAAAAATTGCTGCTTCATGTACTGAAGGACAGGCCCTAGTTTACAGCATGAATTGCAGAGTAGGTTGCTCTGCAATACTGGGTTTGTCCCACATTCCAGAAATGCATGTACACTGCCCAAATTTGTCTACAGGTGAAACTCGAAAAATTAGAATATCGTGTAAAAGTTTATTTATTTCAGTAATGCAACTTAAAAGGTGAAACTAATATATGAGCTAGACTCATTACATGCAAAGCAAGATAGTTCAAGCCGTCATTTGTCATAATTGTGATAATTATGGCTTACAGCTCATGAAAACACCCAAATCCACAATCTCAGAAAATTAGAATATTACATGCAATCAATAAAACAAGGATTGTACATAGAACAATATCAGACCTCTGAAAAGTATAAGCATGCATATGTACTCAGCACTTGGTTTGGGCCCCTTTTGCAGCAATTACTGCCTCAGTGCGGCATGGCATGGAAGCTATCAGCCTGTGGCACTGCTGAGGTGTTATGGAAGACCAGGATGCTTCAATAGCGGCCTTCAGCTATTCTGCATTGTTCGGTCTCATGTCTCTCATCTCTCTCTTGGCAATGCCCCATAGATTCTCTATGGGGTTCAGGTCAGGCGAGTTTGCTGGCCACTCAAGCACAGTAATCCCACGGTCATTGAACCAGGTTTTGGTGCTTTTGGCAGTGTGGGCAGGTGCCAAGTCCTGCTGGAAAATGAAGTCAGCATCCCCATAAAGCTCGTCTGCGGAAGGAAGCATGAAGTGCTCCAAAATCTCCTGGTAGACGGCTGCGTTGACCCTGGACTTAATGAAGCACAGTGGACCAACACCAGCAGATGACATGGCTCCCCAAATCAACACAGACTGTAGAAACTTCACACTGGACTTCAAGTATCTTGCAGTGTGTGCCTCTCCATTCTTCCTCCATACTCTGGGTCCTTGGTTTTCAAATGAAATGCAAAAGTTGCTCTCATCAGAAAAGAGGACTTTGGACCACTGAGCAACAGACCAGGTCTGTTTTTCTTTAGCCCAGGTAAGACGCTTTTGATGTTGTTTGTTGTTCAGGAGCGGCTTGACAAGTGAATACGACATTTGAAGCCTATGTCCAGGATCTGTCTGTGTGTGGTGGCTCTTGATGCACTGACTCCAGCCTCAGTCCACTCCTTGTGAAAGTCCCCAACACTTTTGAATGGCCTTTTCCTGACAATCCTCTCCAGGCTGCGGTCATCCCTGCTGCTTGTGCACCTTTTTCTTCCACACTTTTCCCTTCCACATAACTTTCTATTAATGTGCTTTGATACAGCACTTTGGGAACATCCAACTTCTTTTGCAATTACCTTTTGAGGCTTTCCCTCCTTGTGGAGGGTGTCAATGATGGTTTTCTGCACAACTGTCAGGTCAGCAGTCTTTCCCATGATTGTGATTCCTACTGAACCAGACTGAGAGACCATTTAAAGGCTCAGGAACCCTTTGCTGGTGTTATGGCTTAATTAGCTGATTAGAGGTTGACACTTTGAGCCTAGAATATTGCACCTTTTCTCAATATTTCTAATTTTCTGAGATTGTGGATTTGGGGTTTTCATGAGCTGTAAGCCATAATTATCACAATTATGACAAATCACGGCTTGAACTATCTTGCTTTGCATGTAATGAGTCTATCTCATATATTAGTTTCACCTTTTAAGTTGCATTACTGAAATAAATGAACTTTTGCACGATATTCAAATTTTTTGAGTTTCACCTGTGTATATTTTTGTAAAATGCATGTGATTCCTTAAGAATTTCCTGGATTTTTCCTGAAATGTTATCCAACATTTAGTGTTATTGATAGGCTAATTTATAGTCCAACTTTGGGCATCATGCTTTTTCCACAGTTATAGTCCCTCTTTGCCCTTTTCCTTTAAAGTGACTACACTTTACACTTATGCATGCTCATATAACTTGTTCCTCATACCCTGCTCTGAAAAAAAGCACCTCCTTAATGTCCGGGCAATAGCTAACGGTTCCCCTGTTCTCTCTTCCCACTATCTCTGCTTTGCCATTCTCAAAGTATAGACCTTGAAATCATTACTTAAAAAAAAAAAAAATGGGCAACTAGGGACTGAAACTCTAGAAAAAGCTTGGTACCTAGAGTTGGGCTTTAACAGCCAACATTTTACATTGTCCTATCTTAACTGAATAGTTTTAAAGCCGAACTCCATGAATTCAGGCAGGTTGTAAAATGTGCTGGATTACTAGTTTAGGTCCAACAAGATACATTCTACCTTGTGGGCTTATTTCTTTAGTTTACAGTTTACTGTCCGCAGAGGGAAGAGCTATCGCTATACTTCTGGCGCTCCAACTCTTGGCCTTCTGGTCTCAGCTTCTGTAACTGTCGAGTCACATGCAGTTGCTGTGCCCACCCCTTCCCTCCTCCTGCCCAATCACAGAGTGCTTTGTTTTATATGAATCACTTCACAAAATAGAAAGCCTTCTGAGATTGAACAGATGGGTTGGCCAGGCAGAACTGTTGTGTGTGAGAAGGCTATGTGTCTCCCGTCATATAGCTGGGAGTGTAGTGATGGTTGTCATCTTGGCACTCACTAAAACTGTCAGCTGTAAACAAAAGCATTAGATCCGTGAGGCTGCATGCTTCTTGTTGGACCTAACTACCAGATTTTACAAAGTAGCTTAATTCCTGGAGTGCAGCTTTAAGCAAACTTTTCATAAGAAAAATGTGTAAACCAACATAAGAATACAATTGCAGATTGCATAAGATGTTGTTAGATACCTTTTTTTTCTTTATTATGGCCCTTGGGAATGTTCCAGAAGCCTTCTGAACTCTTAGTTGAAATAGTATGGTTGTTTTACTAAAATGAGTAGAGGCTTGGCACTTGGCAAAGTGCATGCTTCCTGATCTAGAGTGATAACGCTTCTTCACCATAAATACGCTATAATGAAGAAGCGTTGACACCCTAGAATTTAAAGTGTGTTACTAACAGGATCACCGGGTGAAAACAAAGAGATAAAGGTCGGAAGAAAAAAAATTACTGAAGCCACCACATCTTTAACGTTCTTATCCTTATCAAATTTAGAGAAGTAAATGCCCGCTGACCTTTCTTGTAATTGTTCTTTTTTTCTGCATCTCTGTAGTAAATCTTATGTATCTTTTGGTTTTATAAGGACACTTTTAACAATGTTTGCCAAATGTTTTGTGCATAAAAACAGTATCTTGGTAAAGATGTGTGCTATAAATCTCCGCACACTTGCATTTGCTCTTCGCACTGTATGTTTTACCAGCTTGTTATAGATCTAAATATGCACAGAATTTTTACTCTGATTTAAAGCATTGGTATACTAATAACCACATTTATCTAAACCAAATTTCATGGGGTCGTAAAGTGTTACCAAACACACATCAGTAAAATCAGTCTGTATTTGCAGTAAAGCATGCTTGTTATACTCACTGAGGAACCTAAGGGGTTAATCCTGCTCTGATCCTTCCCTTCATCCACTGTCCCCAATCCATCTACTATTAGGACAGAGCTCTAAGAGGCACTCTGGACATGCTCAGTTTGGTGCATAGTGCTTTTTTTTTTCCGGAGGGTTCATGTGATCTGCACAGGGCCATTGAGCACTGTCCAGACAGAGGTTTAGGAGTCATGCAGCCTCATACGACTGTCCGAGGAGAATGAAAACTCCTCACACAAGCTTTACCCAGTGCTCGGTTGGACTCTGATAGCTGATAGAAGTCACAAGACAGCTATATACTGCTGATGAGAAAAGATATTTAGCAGTTTATAGTTACTAAAATAATTGCATTTCCATGTTCTGTGTACTGTACTGTACCAGATATATAGATATAGTGACTGCAGGGTCCTGGGTTTAGTAACACTTTAAAGTCGTCTCTTTAGTGGCAGAAGGAGTGAAGTGATCTTTACTGAAAAACCAGGCCCTCTTTATTTGGGTTATTGCAGATACCATCAAACTAACTAGTGAAAAAGAAAGTTTATAGAAGAGCACTTCAGGATTTTTGTTGCTATGTTCCTTTTTGCAGATTATTCTTTTACGTTACCTCTGATTCTGTTTGTTTGTATGTATGTATATATATATTTATATTCCATGGTCAACTGTTGGTGGTATTATAACAAACTGGAAGCAACTGGGAACAACAGCAACTCAGCTACGAAGTGATAGGCCACGTAAAATGACAGTGGGATCAGTGTATGCTGCAGCGCACAGTGCGTAGAAGTCGCCAACTATCTGCAGAGTCAATAGCTAAAGACCTCCAAACTTGGTGTGGCATTCAGATTAGCACAACAACAGTGCGTAGAGATCTTCATGGAATGGGTTTTCATGGCTGAGCAGCTGCATCCAAGCCTTACATGACCAATGCAATGCAAAGCACTGGATGCCATGGTGTAAAGCACGCTGCCACTGGATTCTAGAGCAGTGGAGATGTGTCCTCTGGAGTGACGAATCATGCTTCTCTGTCTAGCAATCCCATGGATGTGTCTTGGTTTGGCGGTTGCCACGAGAACGGTACTTGCCTGACTGCATTGTGCCAGGTGTAAAGTTTGGTGGAGGGGGAATTATGGTGTGGGGTCTTTTCAGGGGTTGGGCTTGGCCCCTTAGTTCAGGTGAAGGGAATTCCTAAGCTGTCAGCATACCAAGACATTTTGGACAATTTCATGCTCCCAACTTTGTGGGAAGAGTTTGGGGATGGCCCCTTCCTGTTCCAACATGACTGCTCACCAGTGCACAAAA